TCTCTCTCTCTCTCTCTCTCTCTCTCTCTCTCTCTCTCTCTCTCTCTCTCTCTCTCTCTCTCTCTCTCTCTCTCTGTGCATGTGACACACACACACACGCGCGCGCACGCGCCCAGGCAGGGCCGCCTCAATAGTTTCAAGTGTGCATGAACTGAGCAGCGTTCGAATGCGCAAAATGAGGAGGAGAGTATGGAGCAAGGGGCTGTGAGATGCAACCCCATCCCGAATCCCCTCCCCCTCCTTCTCCCCCTCTTTCTCCCACTCCTCCTCCCGCTCCTCCTCCCGCTCCTCCCACTCCTCCTCCTCCTCCTGCTCCTCCTCCACCAAACAACGTGACAAAGATCCCGCCATAGCCCCGCTCCCGCTCCTTCTCCCGCTCCTCCTCTCTCTCCTCCTCCCTCTCCTTCTCCCGCTCCCTCTGTTGCTGCTCCTCCCGCTCCTGCTGTTGCTCGTCCTCCTTCCGCTGCTTCTCCTGCTTTTCCCCCCGAACGGTCGAGAGGTGTGAACGTTGGGTGGCGGGCGGCTGTTGTGCCGGGGAAAGAGAGGTTGACTCTTCCACCCGATTTTCTGCGGGTGCTCGCAATCTGCCCTGCTCCTTACCCAGATCCCGACTTCCTGCCACGTCATCTCCGCTGTCCTATCTCCGTTTCCTTCTCTTCGACTACCCCCGATCCCGACTTCCCCAACTCCGATCGATTCCGATCCTGTCTCCCCTCGACCCGATCCGGATCCTCCCCTCCCTCCTCAAACCTCCCTCCTCAACCGCATCTCGACTCCTCTTTCTGATCACCCTCCCCCTTCTGCCCGACTTTCTCCTGGTGCCCTTCCGCCCGGTTTTCTCCGGGTGCCCGCTATCTGCCCCGCTCCTTGCCCAGATCCCGACTTCTTGCCACGTCATCTCCGCTGTCCCATTTCCGTTCCCTTCCCTTCGACTACCCCCAATCCCGACTTCCCCAACCCCGATGGATGTCAATCCTGCCTCCCCTCGCCCCCATCCGGATCCTCCCTTCCCTCCCCAACTGCATCTCGACTTCCCTTCCTCCCTGCGCCTGACCCTACTTCCCTCCTGCGCCCACCTTTGCTCCCCCCACCTGGCGCGCACGTGTGCGCGCACACTTCCTCCAACTCCTCCCTCCTTCTGCCCAATCACGTCCCCCCCCCTCCTTCCGCTTGCCTGCCCCCTCCTCCCTGCGCACCAACTTCCTCCTCTCTGCACCCCGGTTCCCTGATTTCGATTCCACTTCCGCTCCTGGCCCACGACGACTCCACGCACATCA